GTCCGCAGAAACAACGACCGCCTACTTGAAATACTAAAAATGACAGTCCCGAGCTTGGGGACTACCTCTGCTGCTCATGCGGAAGCGGGTAGGAAGAGCATGGGGGCACGGGAAGGCACAACTCCTCTGTTGTCAATGGGAAGAACAATGGTATGTTCCCCCCGCCCCCCCCCTCCCCAACGGGGAAGGGGCAGTACTGCATATGATTAACGGTAGAACAAAAGAGGGATCAAGCGAGTTTCCGGATAAAACAGACACAAATCAGAATGAGGCAGGCAAAGAGGGACTTGGGGCCCTAGGGGAGCCAAAGAAGTAGAGAGAAGGGGGGGAAGAGGAACAGGATATGGCCATAGGCACCGAAGAAGAGGAATCAGACGGGCACACAGACACATCACTTGATTGGTACGACTCATCAGGATCTGCAGATGAGCCCAACAATCCAAAAGATAAAAAAGGAAGAATCGGGCCAAGTTTATTTTTCCCGTCCACTGTGGGACGAACAATCTGCTACTTGAAAAGGACAAGTCTTTATAGCTTYTGCGAAGAACATAAACTAAACCCTTGGAATTAAGGAAAGACCAGGGATAGTYGATAGACTGTCAAGAGGGGTTCTTTCTGATTCTGATAACAGGTATTCTCTCTTTCATATGYAGAGATAGCTATAATTTGCTAGAACTACTACTGGAAAGGACCCARGACCTGGTTTCCAGCCTGTTCTCTACTTCTTCCTCTGAGGACACTGGACCTGTTTTCCAGTTCTGATATTCAAGACAGGACATTGGACCTGTTTTTCAGCAATCAGGGTAAGACCAGAGATAGTCGATAGACTAGCAAGAGGAGTTCTTTCTGTTTTGTTAATAGGTAGYTTCTCTTTCATATGCAGGGATAGCTACAATTTCCTAGAACTACTTCTGCTGGAAAGGATGTTGGACCTGGTTTCCAGCCTGTTCGCTACTTATTCTTCTGAGGACACTGGACCTGTTTTCCAGTTCTGATACTCAAGACAAGACGYTGAACCTGCTTTCCARCAATCCGGGTTGAATTGTGAGGTCCCCGGCCTCTTTCATGACAATGTAATACCAAGCAAAGTTGTGCAAAAAAAAAAAAAAAGGAAGAATGGAGATCCCTGTAGGACAACATCAGTTACATCACAAGTGTAGCGGACCCACCAGGTGTGGTGCTCCGCTAGTGATAGGGATGGAGATGGAGGAAGAAGTGGGGAGCAAGATGCACAGCGCAGCTCCCACGCAAGACTCCAAAATCGTGCAACTGTAGAATGATCTCCAAAACAGACAATGGCTGGGGTATACCTCAACGGACTGATGGGACTGAACTGGACTAGCTGGTACCGACAGAGGTACCGGCCTGGACTGGACTGCCCCGAATAAAACACAGGCCTATGAGAACAGGCCAAGGGGCTGGTCTCACAGGCCCACGAGAGGTCCGCTACACGATCCTCGACCTTTGATGGATCGCCTAGATACAAGAACGCTTCCGCCAGGAAGCGGAACTCTACCAAAGAAAAGAAAACCTGAGTAGTTAGGATGCGGAGCAAGCTCCATGCTGAGTCCATGCGATGCAACCTAGGATAGAAAATGTCACAAAACATCAATGTCACAGCTAACAGCCTAAGTAAAAGCAGAAGCAACTAACTAACATACATGTCCTAGGAAAGCAGAAACAACTAACTAGCCTACATGTCCTAGGAAAGCAGAAAGTAGTGACAACTAGATCCTAGAATGTTGGAGGCAGTAGCCTCAGTCTGGAAACAGCTAACTAGTGTATAATTCCTAAGAACAACAAAAGCAGAACAGCTAAATCCTAGAAATGTCAGAGGCAGTAGCCTCACTCTGAGAGCAACAAGCAACAACAAGTTAACCATATGTCACAGGAGGATTGTGTCGCAAACCAAAGGGTGGGATGGTCTCTGAGGGTGGCGAATGCAGCCTAGGGGTCGAAAACTCCTAAGGGCATGCACACATAGATAACAGGGAGACACATGCCATCAGGCTCAATGAGGGTAGGGAGCTGGGAGCGAACAAAACCAATGACCCTAACAGATAGACCATCAGGGCGGGTAAAGCCCGACTAAGGGTGACCGCTATGGAGGGTCGACCATGCAAGGGAACAAGGGAGCCTGGTATACTGGGCGCACCTAGATGAAGCATGCGGGGCTGCCTAACTAGGGCGTGAGGGCCGGCAGAGAGTAGAGGTGATGGGTAGGGGAATCATGCAAATGACTCCTAAAGTGAGGGAAGTCGGAGCTAGATCCGTAAGATGGGAAGCCAAGGCAACGCTACAGTCCCGATGCCTATGCGTATACCAAGGGAGAGCCCAACTCAGAGGAACCCGGCTAAAGGGAGACCATCATGCGACACAAGCAGGGTACTGTACAGGGTAAAGTGGTAAGAGAGTGATGACGTCTGAAGTAGGCAGAGCTGATCGTGACGAAGTCCATGAAGCTGCCAATGATGTCCACAATGAGCAGTCCGGAATGCCGTCGAGGAAGAGCCGCAACGTCGACGAGCTGAAGTAGCAAAACTGATGTGGATGGAGTACTGAGAAGTCAAAGACGTGGGAAGGTAAGTCAGAGTCAATCGTCGTATCGAGCAGGACGACGACGAGTGCGCTGTGGACGCTCAGGARCATCCGGCTGCTGCTGAAGGTCTGCCTCAGATRSAGCAGGCTCGACTTCARCTSTCTCCTCAGCCAGGGGAGAAGGAGGAGGGTCAGTGGGCTGAGGAGGAGCAGTGAACCTAGCATGACGAGCACGATCATAAGCACWCCCAGGTAACCTCCTCATCWGGGTAACCTTTCCAACGTACGAGATACTCAACGTGGGGAGGGTTGTCGTCGGTGACTCGGCGACCAATGATGTCTGAAACGAGGAACTCCTCGTGGCCGTCCACCRTGATGGGTAGAGGGCGCTCGTATGGTGGTCCGAAACGCTCAGCCGATCTGCGATAAGGACGCAGCAAAGAGACGTGGTAGACATTGTGCACACGAGTCTAGCGTAGGTAGTCGGGCAACTTCACACGGAAGTTGACCGGGCTAGATGCCGTATCAGAACTGACGACCTGGAGAATGCGGCATGGGACAAAAAAGCGACGTCGAAACTTGCGAAACATGTCCGCTTCGAGCTGTAAGTGGCGGGCGTCGATAAGCAAATCATCACCGACTTTGAATGGATGATCCATCCTCGATTGGTTCGCACGTGCTGCCATGCGAGTCTGGGAGGCGGCTATGTGCTCATGTACGATCTTCATGATCGACGTCATGTGTGCAACCCAATCGTCCAGCGCGGGACAACTCGTGTCGGGGTGCATCTGTGACGGTCGAAGGAAGTCCGCGGGAACACGAGGGTGATAGTCGAGGTCGCAATAGTAAGGCGACATCCCCGTAGCTGGCGAGACGGCGTGGTTGTATGCTATCTCCGCGTGGGCAAGATGAAGATCCCACTGGTGGTCGTCATGAACAATCTTTCGGAGGATATCTCCGAGAGTCCTGTTCGTGATCTCGGTCTGACCATCAGTCTGTGGATAGTAATACGAGGAGAAGCGGAGTTGAGTGCCATATACCACGTGGAGCCGTCGTCAGAATCGGCTGGTAAAGCGCGGGTCACGGTTAGATATGATGCTTAGAGGTAAGCCATGGTCATGCACGACTCGATCAAACACGATATCGGCGACCTCACATGCACTGATGGCATAGCTGCACGGAACAAAGCGTGCACGCTTCGTGAAGCGGTCGACGACGACCAGGATAGCATCATGATCGCGGCGGGCCGGAGGACGAAGAGGACCGAGAAAGTCCATCGAGATGGACTGCCAACGACCCTCAGGGATAGGAAGAGGCTGGAGCAAACCATAAGGCAGGTAGTTCGCACTCTTCACCTTATGACAGGTGGGACACTCTGCGACGTAGTCCTTCACAAAGTCCTTACGCTTCAGCCAAACGTACAGGTGGCTCACCCGAGCCAACGTCTTGTGGAAGCCCATATGACCGGCGGCTGCCTGGTCATGGAACTCTGCTACTGCTCGGACACGTAGCTGTCCGGTGGAGGGAACGCAAGTACGGGGCTCTCTAGTGCTCTGTGAGCCGTGCCAGTACACAAGACCGTTGTCCCTGAGAGAGTAGTTTGGGACGGTCTTGCCACTCCGAAGGGTCGCGTGGATGTCGCGATAGTCGGGGCAGTGGCAGTACTGTATGCGAAACTCATCGATCACCAGGTGGTGGACAGTGGTGACTGAGATGGAGGAGAGATGGATCTGCTCCTGGTCGTGGTCAGGGCGCCGGAATAATGCATCTGCGACCCGATTAGTCTCACCCTTGATGTGCTCAGTGGTGAAACTAAACGCGGATAGGTCGCACCACCAGCGAGCTTGTCGAGGAGTGAGCTTCGATTTTGTCAGAAAAGTCTGGACAACAGAGTTGTCCGTGCGCACCGTGAATGGTGCCCCGTGCAGGTAGTGACGCCAGTGCCGAGTGACATAAACTACTGCGAGAACCTCACGTTCATCAGCAATGTAGTTTATCTCAGCAGGTAGAAGCTGACGGGAGTAGAAGGCTATCAAAGAATCACCTGAGCGAGACTCGACAGTGCCGCCCTCGACGATGGTATGAGAATAGTCAATAGAAGGCTCGTCAGTTGCTGGACGAGTACTAGGCGTCAGTCGGAAAGCTGTGGTAGGGGTAGGTGGTGGGAAGCGAGGGATACGAGGATGAGAGGAATCAGGAGAGGAGAAGAAGACCTGGGAAAGCACTGCTCCTACAGCAAGGTCTGACGCATCGGTGGTAAGGATAAAAGGGCGGTCAAAATCGGGTAGGTGAAGAACCGGTGCGCATATCACCGCCTTCTTGAGGGCGCGGAAGGCGTCCTCGTGGAGGGGTGTCCAAGCCCAGGGTGGGTTCTTCCGGAGGAGGGTGGACGTAAGGACGTAGGAATACCTAGCGTATCCCCGGATGAAGTTACTATAGTAGCTCGTCAGGCCTAGGAAGCTGCGAAGCTGCCTGGCGGATGTGGGGGYGGGCCACTCCGCAATAGCGGTGATCTTCGCGTCSTCCATGTGGAGACCCTGGTCAGACATGTAGTGTCCTAAGAAATMCACTTTGTGCTGGGCAAAGMGGCACTTRCTCAGCTTGGCGWAGAAGCCATGTCTGCGCAAGCAGTCAAGGACGTCGYAGAGGTGTCTGAGGTGCTCCTCAAGGGTACGACTGTAGACCAGGATATCGTCGAGGTAAACGAGAACGTACTGTTCCAGGATGTCCCTAAAGATGTCGTTCATCGCCCTTTGGAAGGTAGCGGGTGCATTGGTGAGGCCGAATGGCATCACCGTAAACTCGTAGTGGTTAAAGCGTGATCGGAATGCGGTCTTCGGCTGGTCGGCTGCAGCGACGCGGATCTGATGGTAACCGCTACGAAGATCAATCTTCGTAAAGAAGCGGTTGCCTGCTAGCCGGTCGAACAGCTCATCGGAACGAGGCATGGGGTAGCTGTTCTTAACCGTGTAGCGGTTGAGACCGCGGTAGTCGATGCAGAGACGAAGAGTTCCATCCGCTTTGCAAGCAAAGAGGACGGGTGCACCCCACGGGGAGTTGCTGGGTTTAATGAAACCCAATCTCATGAGCTCCTCAAGCTGACGTTTGAGTTCGGTGGCCTCGGGGATCGAGAGTCTATAGGGTGCCAAGTGGTGAACACGATAGTCAGACACAAGCTGGATGGAGTGCTCGACGTCACGCATCGGTGGGATGCCGGTGTACGAGAACGACGATGGGAAAACGTTGTGGTACTCTCGGATGAGGTTACGAACTGTGGGCTCCAGGTCAGCCGTATATCATGCGAGTTCCTCAGCGTCAACGTCAGCGCGCGATGGCGGGGTGGACTCGACGGACGGCGGAGGGACGAAAGTAGAGATGGGAGCCATGGAGATAGAAGGAGGATCTGGCTCCAGAGGGATGAGCTCGGCGTCGGGACAGGGTGGATCATAGTGTAAGAGATCTGTCACGTTCACCATAAAGAAGGTGACGTCCTCCTGTCGGATGAAGTGGGCGAACTGCCGAGGCGAGGTGACAGTGATAGAAGGAGGTGGTGTGGGCACTGACGGCTCCGAGGGAGGAGGATCGGGGCGTGGTATCGTCGTGGTACCTATGAAAGGTACGCGATACGTCTGTCTACACGTCGTTTTGAGAACGAGAGTGTTGGTTGCTTAATCGGCCTCGGTGCTGCGGAATTGACGAGACCACGGAGTACCGAGAATGAAGTCGTACCCCGTCTCCATCACATCGAAATGTGCAGAGGAGCGGTGGCGACGAGACGCCGGGGGCGATCAGTCGGCTCGAGAGTGAGGAAGAAGGGGAGGTTGGTGACCGTCTGATCGAAGAAGCGCTGAGTCTTGTCATCCCCAAGGGTAACGGAGATGGGAGTCGGAGACCCTGTCGTGGGTAAGCGGGCTTCTTTCACCACGCGTGGGTGAATGAAGTCGCCCTGAGAACCGGAATCCCACAGCGCTGAGTACACCCTCGTGGAGGTCCCGAGTCGTACTGGGATGATCGGGAGGGTGCGATGAGGGTCAGAGAGGATGGCGAGAAGCCGACGCAGTGCAGTAACATGGAGGGTGAGTCACTCCTAACGAGCCTGGAGCATGCTCAAGTCCAGAAGAGAGGACACAACGTCCTCGTGAGTAGCGAGCTGCTCGCTGCAACGGGCTGAGCGAATGGCTCGACGCGTCGGTAGTCGTGGCGGGGTAGGAGGGGATACGGTGGTCTGCGGAGACGCAGAAGGTACTACGACAGAGGGCTGAGTACACTCTGTCGGGTCCTGCAAAACCTCAATTCCAGTACCGAGAGGGGCAAACCACGACGGGGATGTCGGGAAGCCAACTACTGAGGAGGGCGCAGGTGTACACTGCACCGTGGCTAGGAGGCGCCGCGGGGATGCGAGGCGCTGGGGGGGGACTGAGCACGACGCTGGCAGGAAAGGTTTGCGTAGTGGCGGTCAAGGGCGGTGGTGTAGGGGCACCGCGAGGAGGTATGACCATCCTGACGGCATCGCAAACATCCACGCCGACCCAAAATAGCTGCGCGCTCCTCAGCGGAAAGGACACCACGAGGAGGGACAAAGCCCTGAGGGAGGTCCTGCTGAGGGACCTCGGGGGGCGACTGCGTGCCCGGGAAAGGGTGGAGAGGATAAGCTGGAGGCGCTCAGCCATAGGGAGAGTAGGGTCCTCCAGGTGGTGGTGGACAGCCTCGCCAAGGTCGAGGTCGTCGCTATGGTCACCCTCTGGCGACAGCGGGGCACCAGCGTCCTGCTCACCATACTCGAGCGCGCTGAAGTGGCGCGAGAAGTGGCGGCCCTGCTGCACGGAACGGCGGGGGCGACCGCGGAAAGGGGAACGACGTTGGGAAGTGTCGTGAGAGGAGGAGGAGGCGTAACCAGTACGATGTGGCTGGGAGGAGGAGGCGGGGTGAAGACGGGCCCGCATCGCCTGATTGTCCCTGGCGGCCTCGTAAGCCTGCGGGGCTGATATGAACTTGTACCGCCATAGCTCGGAACGGTACTCAAGCGGAAGGCTGGCCAAGAAACGATCGATAAGGGCGGCCTTGGGGACGAACGCCATGTCACAAATGAGGCGGGCGTCCTGAAAAACCTGGATGTGGCGATCCAGGCCGGCAGCGCCACCAGAGCCGGACCAGCGTGTAGTGACGACACAGTCGAAGGCATCAGTCACGTCGTATCGGGCTCCGAAGCGATCCTCGAGGAACGCTTGGAAATCCATGAAGGTCGGAGTCCGACCCGCACGAACGGAGTAAGCGTAGAAATTCTCCYAGGCGTCGGAAGGACCTCCATGCAGGCGCATGGAGAGGTGAGCCACCCACGTGTCGGGTGCGGCACCCATGAGCTGGAGTGTGCGGGTGGCAGACTGTAGCCACCGAGACACACGTATGCCTGTACCGTCATACAAGGCAATGTCCGTCAAGCGGACGAGTGGTGCGCCACCGTTTTGGCGACGAGGAGAACGGGAAGCAGGGCACTGCGCTACGGCTGAATAAGTGGGCGCWGGTCCTGGAGGAGWGGGCGCAACTGGCTGTACGCCCGGGCCGCATGGTGGAGCGGCGGGGGAAACAKYGGCAGGCTGCACGGGAGCTGCAGTAGAAGAGGTCGCAGCAACCGAGGGTTTGGGGAGGAGGTAGGATGGGGATGGGTAGGGCGCAGGGCGAGGGAAGCGGGAAGGAAGAGTAGAGGAAGAAGGGGGTGCGCCGGAAGGCGCGGCCACCTGTGAGGGTGGGGGAGGYTAGKGCGTGAGAGGGCGAGGTCGGCCCGGAGCTGGGCAATCTCGTCCTCGAGACCTCGAACGTAGGTYGTGCGAGGGGTAATAGGAGGAAGAGTGGGGGAAGTGGACGCACGAGCGACGCGGGGCATCCCAGAGGGGGGAGAGCCAGGTGGCGCTGYGGGCGTGAGAAGGGGAGGGAGACGCGGGGCACCCGGAAAAGCTGAGACCATGGTAGCGGGTTGTTGTACCATGACTGTCGTGACTGGGATCTGGGCGGGTGCGCCCGTAGACTAAGGGAGGGCCTGGCTCGTGGCGGCCGTCGTGCTAGGGGCGTGGACAATCACCAAGATGGCCATGTCGGGGGCAGCGGAGGAGGAAGCTCCGCCGTGGCCACCCTGTAGGAGGACGGGGGACCCGGACTGGGAGCCAGGAGATGATGAACACTCAGCGTTGTCCGCGCGAATGCCCTTGCAAGGGTATTCGGCCTGGTTTTTGCAAGTGACAGCGGGGTTGATGGTTCAGGCTGTGTGTTCAAACGACTACCTGCGTATGGGCCAAGGTTATCTAAGTGGGTAGGGTGAGTGGGCGCGCAGTTTCAAGGCGCGCGTGTGATTTTGCCCGTTTGATCGTGCCACCGACGCAGGCGTCTGGCTTGACGTCGCACTCTTGATCAAACCAAGGATTAATGGGCTGGCCCCGCTTACTATGCCTGATCGGCGGCAGGGCTGATAGGTAGGATGGTACGTAGGGCGGCCGTGGCACAGTCAGGGAGGCCGGCGTGATTGGTTGGTAGCCCCACGCCTGGCCATAGGTGCGGGGAGGGATTGCGATGTCCCCCTCGGCCCTGAGTACCGGGCTGCACCACTGCAGTACTACTTTAAATGGGAGGTGGCGCCCACTGATCCCAGGTTAGGGCCTAGCCTTATAGGTAATGGTGCATAGCTATTGCTAGAGAGGTTCTGGGATCGAGGCCAGCGAACGACTAGGTGGGAGCGGCGGCGTAGCGAAGCAGCGAGGAGGAAGCTGAGGGGTCCAGGGACCGTTGGGGTATCCCCCTCAGGCTTTTGCTGGCGGGTGTGGCAACAGGCTGACCTACAGGCCTGGCGAGGTGCCAGCGGTTCAGCCCTAGGAAATCGTAGGCTCTACATAGGAGAAATTATTTTATTGTTTTTTTTTTTTTTTTTTTTTTTTTTTTTTTTTTTTTTTTTTTTTTTTTTTTTCCTTTTTTTTTTTTTTTTCCTTTTCCCTTTTTTCTTTTTTTTTTTTTCTTTTTTTTTTTTTCTTTTTTTTTTTTTTTTTTTTTTTTTTTTTTTTTTTTTTTTTTTTTTGGCTTTGTCATATTCTGTCCTCCCTTCCATTAGGCAGCAGTCCCGTTCCCCTCGGGACAGGAGGCAACACCGCGGGGCACGGCCCGACTGAGCCCCGCGGATCATCCGCTAGGACTGGAGCAAGTCTCAGAGGACTAGTGCGGCCCCTATGCGCGAGGGGCGGGCATAAATTGGGGAACGACCAAGCCTTGTGGGTTTCCATTGAGCTCCGATGCATCGCGTTGCTGCACGCTGGGCGCGCTATCGAGTGACGAGAGAGCGGGCACTGGGACAGGAGGTCAGCAAAGACGGAGTAATGGTGACGACAACGTGAAACAAGGGCAAGAGGGGCGGAGTGAATAGTGGAGAGTATGGCTGAGAGGAGTCCCACTGTGACTGTGAGAAGTGATCGTCCTATATAAATAAGCCTTATGTATATATTTGTATGTACCTTGGGCATGCGCGCGGCTTATTGTGATCGTGCGCAAGGGTTAACCAAATTATGGCTTGAGAGAAAAGGGAGATCGCCTTTTACCCTTTGCTTTTTAGAGATTTTTATAGTCGGACGTTGGTCCTGGGGCGGGATTCAAGGTCCTTGTCCAGGACATCCCAAGCCCTAGACTCTGCAGGGAAGGAATCTGCCCCCGTGCAGAGCCTATTTGCCTTGCCTGCCGAGACACTCAGACCAAAGGCGGAGGTCTCGCGGCGGCTGCACAACAACGGTTTTGGCGGTACGAGATGTAGGAGCTGCGTGGAGGGGAACAAGTTAAAAGAGGGGGATGCATCTACCTGTGTTTTAGGGAATGATTCATTCCGTTTTTGTTCATCCTATCTACAGGACTAGCGTGGGTTAGTCGCGGGGTGGRGTGCTTACCTGTTGACCGGTGAGCTGCTCGTCCCATCGAATGAAGTAGCTGGGGCAAGCCGCGCGGAGAGAGGTGGCTTACCTCGTAGCRTGGTCGAAGTAGTGGMAGTGAATACCCCCATGTTTGAGCTGTAGATTCATCCGGTTCTGCTCGCTGGAGGAACCGCGAAGCCGCTACGGAAGGAAAGGGCTGTGCAGCTGTTTCGAGCAAGGAAGAGAGACGAGAAGGAAGAGAGTAACCTTCTGTGATAGAGGAACCACCCGCCATCGTCATCGCCATGGCTGTGTTGCCCCTCCGTGGTTGGTCGTGGTACTTGTCTTCGTCAAGCCGGAGGGGTTTATCATGGTGATGGA